TCGCAACAATTCCTGCATGACGACTTTGTCCCCTGGACCCCACCAAACTTGAACTCAAGCCCCGGTCTTCTAGGCCCTCATCCCTATCCCCCAACCTACTCCAACAATGTTCATGCCTACTACACTTACACCCCAACCCCATCCCCTTCCCCATATGACCTTTGCCACCCCACCCACCCCACTTATCTACCCGCAACACTGTTACGGGATTATTATTATTATTATTATTATTATTATTATTATTATTAGTATTATTATTATGGTAAGGAATTATTAGTTAACTTTTATTAGGGAATATTATATTTGTTAGGTAATTAATTAGTTTCCTAGTTTATTTAGTTTCTTTTTGTGATTAGGGTTCCTTCAATATGCTAGTTATAAATGTATCACCACCATGAAGTTATTATTCAATCAATAAAGAATAATCATTTTTCCCTAAACTCTAATATCTTCCTCTTCCCTCTCGTTCTTCTATTTCGCCGAACAAAGTATTGTGCGATTCTCTCTCTCTCTCTTTCTCGCCTCTTTTGTTCATGGAGCTCGAAGGTGCTCGAAATCCTTCCCTATCCCGATACGATACCGTATCAAACACCCCCTTTCCCCTAACACTTACCCGCAGCCCCCCATCACTTACCCGCAAGCTGCCAACCCCACACCCACAGTCTTGGCCCACTAGTGTGATACCATGACCCTTCGTGAACCCTCATGGCACATGGACACGAGAGCATTTCACCACATTGCCTCTAACCTAGGTAGTATTTCTCATGTCTCTTCTCAATCTTTAAATTTTCCATTACATATCACTGTTGTAAATGTATATAAGGTGAGCACAACGGCTGTTGGAAGCCACACCCTTCCTACTAACAACCCATTATCCCTCAATAATGTCATTCTGCCAGTTTACACGTGATAATAATTGATCTATTGAATTTGATGTTCATGGTTTTTTAGTGAAGGATCTTCGGATAGGAATCGTGATACATCGATCCAATAACATCGGCCCTCTCTATCCCTTGCATCACTCGGTTCTAGCCTAAGCCAATAGTGTGTTTGTTGACATTCATACATGGCACATGCGCTTGGGCCACCCCAGTCTTGCTGGCAGTCTATTTGAAATTTATAGTCATAAGTTATGTTGTGCTTGTCAATTACGAAAAAATGTCTGTCTCCCATTTTATCACTCCTGTTGTGTCTTTTTTTCCCTTTGAACTTTTACATACAGATTAATGACAATCCCCTGTCCCTAGTATTATTGGTTTTAAAAATTACTTCCTTCGTTCCCCAAAGACCTCATTTTGACTTTTTGTGGTTTTTAAAGAGAGTTGAAAAAAAAGTAAAATTTACCAAAATACCCTTAATGAAAATGGGCGAGGTGTATTAAATAAGGTGGAAAAAGTGTAATAAATAAAGTAAGTGGGGGCAGTTGTGGTATTTTATATGTTAAAAAAGGTAATGAGATCTATGGGGGACAGAGGGAGTATGTGTTATTATTGGATGATTTCTCATTATCTTTTGGTGTTTTTTTAAAGCATAAGTCATGTTTTTACTCACCTTACCACCACTTTACAAAATCAAACACCCCACACAATCCTTTTTAAATCCCCACCCACTTACTCTCACCTCCGTGTCTTTGGTTGTCTGTGCTACCCTAACATCTCAGCCTCCACCCCACATAAACTAGCCCCTCGCTCTGCCCGGTGCATCTTTTTTGGTTGCCCTTCTAAGTTCTAATTAGTGTGAGTACCGTTGTCTAGATCTCCACACTAACAAAATCATCATATCTCGCCATGTTATTTTTGATGAAGCCACTTTCCCTTAGGAACATACTCCCTCTCCCGAAGAACTTACCTTTTTGGACTCCACGAAGGACGACATACCTTGCCTTACACACCACCAAAATCTCCCCCCACNCTAACCCCTTCACCCACCCCCTGGCTTGGCCCGGTTCTTCAGCCCAAGCCAGCCCACCCTCCACTCCCTCGGTCACCCCTCCTTATCCCCGTCCACCTCCCCTCCACTACCCCCTTACCATACACCAACACCAAATGGTCACACGTTCCAAAACTGGCTTGTGTTCTATTGTAGATTTCATTCTTATGGTGTTGTTTTTTTAACTTCAATTTTACAACTTTGTATGTTTTTGATTAATTTTGAAAATCCTAAAAAAATAATGGCTGGTGTTCTTTTGGGTGTGTGTTCTTGTTTTAAATGTTTATATATAATCCCTTATGAATGAAAATTGATTCACTCTTATTTACTTCAATTATTGCACAAGTTGTTGAATTGGTTGAATTGTTTCAAATTCATAGGTAGGTCGTTATGTAGAATTGGGTTTTTGTTGAAGCTATTTTAGCTCCATAAAATAGTTAAAGAAAGTCCGAATTCATACATGTTTCTTTGTTGTGCTTGTGTTCGTTGATTTTAAGGATTTTGGACTTCTTAGTCCCATAAGTTGATTCATTTCCTTAGAATTCGTTATAGAGTGATTTTGTAATGTGATGTGTTTGTTTTCCATTTTCTTTAAATTGAGATTGTTTAAGTGCAATAAACAATTCTTGATTTATTGAAGATATGTTGTGTTCTTCTATGTGAATAGAAAAAACATCATTGGTTTGAAAAGTTTATGGAAATCTATGAAATGTTTTCACCATTAGGAGAAAAAGTTTGTTAAAATGCATTAGGTATTGGCGATTTGTGAATAGATCATGTATGAGAGTTGAATGCATCATAGATTCGTGACAATGTATTCGCATACTAAAATGGTTTTAAAAAAATACAAACTTTCTCCGTGGGATCGGCCCTTACTTGCCCTAGCTATAGTCTTTATTTGATTATATATTGGGGGTTAGATAAGGATATTTGTAAATTTTTAATTTGTTTTGGATCGCACGACAAGTCTTGAACAAATTTTTCCCTTAACATAAACCAACACCACATGGTCACACGTTCCAAAACTGGCTTTTCTAAACAAACCCTCAAATTAAATACCACTCTACCCATCTCCCCCTGCCTCCCACTTATCGTAATGCACTCAAAAATTTAATCTGGCATGCTGTTATGTGATAGGAATTTAATGCTTTGATTAAGAATGATACATAGAAACTAGTACCCCCACCCAAAATATCATAATCTGTAAATGACTTTTTCGACTTAAACTTGGTCCCACAGGTTGAGTTAACCAGGCATAAAGCTCGATGGGTTGTTTGTGGCTTTAACTAGAAGTACGAGGTTGATTAAGGTGAGACTTTTAGCCTAGTGATCAATCTGGAAACTGTTCGCATTGTGATGGCCTATTCATCAGTTGGACGTCAAGAATGCTTTCCCATCATGGCCACCTTAAGGAAACTGTGTACGCCACTCAACCTTCTAGGTTTGAGGATCCTGGCAGCCCCATTATGTCTGCAAGCTCAAGAAGGCTCTTTATGGCTTAAAGCAGGCTCCAAGATCGTGGTATCATCGTTTTTGAAGTTTCATCCAAACCATGGGTTTTTGTGGTTGCTAGTATGGCACTTCCCTCTTTACCAATTGTTTTGGGGCAGACATGACCTATCTTCTTTTCAATGTGGATGAGATTGTCCTCACGGCGTCTTTCGAGTTCCTTCTTCAACAATTAGCTCAGAAGCTCAAGGATGAATTTGCTATGACTGACATGGAGATCTCCACTTCTTTCTTGGCATTAATGTGCATCGTATAACCAATGGCCTCTTCCTACATCAGACACAACTCGTTCATGATATCCTTCAGCGAGATGGGATGGTCTCTCGTCGCCCCATCTTCACTCCAGTTGATACAAACGTCAAGCTATCAAGCGCGTCCGGTTACTTTGTAGCTGGTCCAGCTCTCTACCACTCTATCATAGGTGCCCTAGAGTATCTTACATTCACTCAACTGGGCATAATATGCCTGTTCACCAACTTTGTCTCCACCTACACGCCCCACGTGATGTTCATGTCATAGCCATAAAGCGCGTTCTACGTTACCCCAGCGGCACAACGACTTTTGGCATCTCTCTCTCTCTCCATCCAGTACGTATTCTCTGCAGGCCCACTCTAATACAGACTAGGCCGGATGCCTAGACACTCGCAGGTCTACATACGTGTATTGTGTGTTTCTTAGGGCAATCTAATCTCTTGGCCCTCTAAACAACAAGCCACGACATAACGCTCTAGTGTCGAGGCCGAATATTGAGGTGTAGCAAATGCTGTTGCTAAGACTAGCTGGATCCGGAATCTTCTCCTGGAAGTGCAGCAACCCCTGCGACGAGCCACTCTTGTCTTCTGTGTCAGTGTGGTCTACCTCTCCACCAATCCCGTCCAGCGTCAACACACCAAACATGTCGAGGTAGACATTCACTTTGTACGTGACAAAGTTGCCCTTAACATGTTAGAGTCCTTCATGTACCGTCGTCTTCTCAGTATGTTGATATCTTGACAAAAGGACTTCCATCTATGTTGTTCACACACTTCCACACGAATCTTGGGATTCGTTCCCCCAGCACAGCCGATGTCGCCAGGAGCATGTTAAATATATTTATTATTATTATATTATTTTATTGTAGTTACCATTTGTAACTAGTTTTCTTTGTAGTTAGTTTCCTTTTATAATATCCTACCACTGGTAGGATTTGGATTTCGTGGAAAATATTCATTCGTCAGGACCAACCAACCCGAGTATTCAGAAGTCAGAACCCAAAAAGGAGAAACTCGGACTTCAATTGGGAAATACTTCTAACCAAATGCTGGACCCGAAGGGAAGGACACGAATTCGGCCCAGGCAGGGGAAGTTTTATGATTTCTCCTCTTCGAAGTAGCGACGATGAATTTGTGACAGGGAAGGGTACTGATTGGATTGAGAAAAAGAACTATACAGATTGAAAAAGTTGTAATGGATAAACTACACCCAAAGATGAAATTGATGTTGATGATGCATATGTGTGTGAGTCATATGTTTATGATTTATTCTGTTGAGCTTTAACATCTTTTCCTTTTTGCTACATGTAGACAACAAAGAGAATCGCGATGGAAGCAACTTTGGAGGGCATTCGCTCTGAGGAGATGCAAGGACAGCAGGCCATGTTTCTTGATAAATTGTGCATTTGGTTTCGTCTCGAGTCAGGTATCTGATATTTGGTACTCTTTTCATGTCCGCTTTACTCCAAATTTTCATATTATTTTTTAATTGTTGAGTTGTTTTAGAAGCCCAAATCTTAATTCTTAACATTCACATAATGCAAACAACGACTGGGTATGTATTCATGCGTATCCTAACACTGCTGACACCTGATGGAATACTTGGCATTCATGCTAATTATGAGCATGTACCGAGGTGTGAACTTTGAAAAGCATACAGACTGGAGGGGTAATTAACCCTGCAAAAGCCAGGTATCTAGAACTACTGATCCTGGAGTCTTGGACCATGGTTATTATGCCTACGATGGCAACCTATGCACAGATGAAGCTCACTGTTGACTAAAACAACGAGTCAAAACCTTCCACGACTTAGAGATTCTTGAAGAATTTCAACTCCACATCACTAAGGAGCTTTTGATGGGGTTACTTGGGTATGGTGGGAGCGCACAAAAAGAAACTAGATGACTCACCATCTTGGGCCAGATTTTGTGAAAAAATTTATCGATTACAAAGTACAAATTTCACCAATCTGACAGAAGTGTTTAATAGTGATTCACGTTCATTTTCTTTTACATAAAGTAATAAAAGAAAAAAAGTGAGTTGTTTTAAAAATCTATATTAAGCTTCTTTCAAAGAAAAATTATAGAAGGTTCTCTTTTGAAATAATAAAAAAGATACGTGGATTAAAAAAGGGAGAAAGACCAAAGTAGGACTAAATCATTGAAAATATACCAAAATAGGACTTTCATGTTTTTATTCTCGAAATAGGACTTACATTACCATACATGGTCATATACATGAGAGTAATCATTCAAAAACAATATATAAAATTTAAACTCCGTAACACTTGAGATAGGAGTTTACCACAAGTCTCTATGTAATAATTGAAAAAGAAAAGTAGATACACGAGTAAGGTAAGAGGATGAGAGATGAACATGTTTTCCCAATTGACAAGCATGATTGGGGAAGAGTACTAGATTAATAATTAACAAGCATGACCTCTAACAAGCATTGATGATCATGTTTTCCCAATTGACAAGCATGGCCTTTGATACTAAATAATTGACTCTTATTTAACTTTGATAAAATGGGGTGGGGGACTCCACAAAGGATACCATGGTTGGGATGTCCAAGTCAACAATGCCACATTTGGAGATCAAGAGTAGAGATGTGCTTGGGATGATGTTGAATGTAGGGGATAGAGTAGGCCATCACAACTAGACCAATGAATCATATGTCATGTCTGAGGGTCCTTCACAAAAATCCATTTTGTTCAAATTCATTAGAATAGTTATTGTCACAGGTAAATTATCAGACAAATATAAGGTTGTGAGTAATGTGTGGGTAGACACTGACATGTTTAAGAAAGAGGCGGTGTTTTGTGTTTATAGTGCGGGAACATGAGGCAGTAGTGTGTACTTTAGATTTATTACCTAACAGTATATGTGCTGGTGAAAACAAACTTTGAGAAAAAATTTTGAGAAAGAGTACCTGGGTGCAATGTGGTGAGAAGCTCTGGTATCCATAAGCAATGTGGGTTCACGATGTATCATGGTGTCATAGTAGTGAGCTAGAGTACTTTGTGTTTGGTAGGGGGAGGGGGGAATTGGTACGGGTTGGGTGGGTACGAATATGGGCATAGGTTGGTAATGGGGGTGGGGTGAGTGGAGGGTGGGCTGTTGGGGAATTGGGTAGAGTGGGTTGGGTGTAGTCAGCATGGGCCGAGTAAGAGTGAGAGTTGGGCCTAGGGCCGAGTAAGCACAAGGTAGGAATAATAATAATATGGAAACATATACCCTTTTTGACCGTTGAACCTCGAGTCATATTATGACCCGGGGCCCCTACGGTTCTCCGTTCGTAAAATTGATGGTTCTTACACCCCCTAAATCCTATCCTCTGCCCCCTCCCCCATTTTTCCGATTGGTTACATTTATTATTAGTGCAATTAATACTGTAGCCAATTGGCAAAATGAGGGAGGGAGGGAGGGGGGGGGGGCAGCTAAGGGCCACGGGGTAGGATTTTGAGGCTGTTTAGGTCGTAGGATCCATCAATTTTATAAATAGAGCACCGAAGGGGTCCCGAGTCATATTATGACCCGAGGTTCAAGGGTAAAAAGATCATTGCTGATATAAAAAATTATGCAAACAATATATTTTGTTTAAATTAATTAATTTTTACCACTTTTAAAATGAAAAACATAACAAAATGTATTTAATTGATGGAGTGTATTTAGGGTTTTGTGCAATATACATCGTATAACAAGTTGTACAAAATTTCCCGTAAATATGCGGCGAGTATTTATTTACAAGTAATTAAATACTCATTTTGGATCAATTATATACGTAGTAATCATTTTCGAGTAACTGAATTCAAATTTTTCTAAAATTTAGTTATGCTCGAAGCTGAGTATTCAGTTATTTCAGAAAACACCGTACATCTAGATATACGATGTATGTACTTAGGCCCTGTTTGGTACACGGAATTCAAAGTATGAAATCGGAATTGAGAACTTCAATTCCAATTTTGTTGTTTGGTAGCACGAAAATTACGTGAATTTAGAATTGGTAGTGCAAAAAATGTATTGGAATTGATAAATTCAATTCTATGGAATTGAATCACATGAAATTTTAATTCAAATTTAATTCCAATTCCATCAATTCCGTATACCAAACAGACCCTTAGGGTTTTAGGCGTGTTTGGTTAGGGGGATGATGGGAGGGGATGGGAAGGTTTTCCTTCATCTTGTTTTGTTGGGAGAGGGGTAGGAAGCCCTAAATTGATCCTGTTGGAGCTTGTTGGGTTCTCTTCAAAATTTGCTTCTCTTCATGTGTTCATTTGCCGACGAAGAAGGCTTGTAGAAGGCAATCCCTCATATTTGGAGGGGAAGGATACTAGGGGAGGGAAAGGTTTTGAATTTGAAATTTTAGATTCCCTCCATTTTTTTTAACCAAACAAGGAGATAGTCTTATGTTTAGACTTGACAAAAATTATTCTGATCTGTTTTTGACCTGAGATCTGACCCGAAAATATTATATTTTGACCAATGGTTTTGTTGACTGAACTCGAAATGACTCTTTAAAATGCGTCAAACCTGCTCGAACACGAATTCGACCTGACCGCCAACGGAAGACTTTCAAAATCATGTACTATAGTATAAAAATAATATATTAAAACTAAATTTATATTTTAATTTTTTTTCAAAATATTCATTTTAGTCATTTTGACTTGTGGTCCGTTGCCGTACTACCACCTCACTCCAACATCATATTGCTATCCATCAAATTATCATCGTACTGCCATTAAATTTCAAATTAAAACAACTATGCCGCTTTTATTTGGTAATTTCATGTCATTTTGCTTATTTCTAGAGGTATTTTTTTGAATGCTTTCAAACGGACATTTTCTGTTGCTTTACTAAGTAATTTTTTAGAAATGAAACAATCTGTGCTCTACATGATTTGAAATCTAAGAGTTTAAATTCTGAAATGAAATCTAAATTTCCAAACAAGTAATTTGCAAATAGGAACAACTTTTGATGTTCCAAATTAAGTTACATGTTTACTATTCACGAGATCACACTTTATTCACTTTTTTTTATATTTTTGTTACTCATTTATTAAAATAATATAACTACGTCAAATCTTATTTCGTAGATACTTTAATATAATTTTTTAATAGGTAAAGAAAAAATGATTAAAATAAGAATAACCTTGAAGAAAATACTAAAATACGAGTTTCATGTTTTTTAATTCCAAATTAGGAATTCACATGGAATAATGCCAATATGTGGTACCAAAAAATACACTAAAATGTAACTATACAATGTCATGATGTCACAGTACAAACTCTTATATTGAGATAAAAATTGAAACTCCTATTTTATTTTAATGAGAAATGCTATGTGCTACTTCGGAGTTATTATTTCTTATATATAAATATATTTTTTAATTCCATTCCGATTTTTTGAAAATAAATTTAATCAAACATTATAAATCAAATTAGAATATTTCAAAAAACAAAAAATATATATTTTAAGCTTAGCTTACCAAACACGTCGAGGTGATCAGGTGAACGCCCTTTGAATTCGATGAACTCCACAAAGCTCCAAAATACTGCCTGCAATTGACGAAGTGGTGACCGCCAAAGGCAAGCACGCACCATCACTTCGTTGTTTCATAGGTGAACTGCGCCCTAAATTTGTTCAGACCAGAGGATTTCAATGGCTTTTCAGAGCAAGAAACTGATCAACGACCCAAATGGTAATTGATTTCGCTGGCATTACTCTAGTACTTCCTCAGTCCCTCTTGGTTTCATTCGAAGTGTAAAGCGAATAAAGTGTATGAATAACCTTGAAACCATTTATTTAAGAATACATACTACCTTCTAATGTGAATCCTTAACTGTGCTTTCTCCAATTTCTTGCGCTCATTGTCTTTGTATTTTTCCTGTGAGAGAGTACAAAAACGTAATAGCTCTGAAACCTTTGTAGGTGTCAAGTTATAACTGCAGCCACTTAGCTTTTTGCCTGAGCCATTCCATTTCTTTTTTCTTGTGACCATCCAACCTACTGTTTGGAGTGTTTAAAAAAGAAATTGGAACTTGCTTTTATCATTTTGGTGTTTGATAAATCAACACAAATTTCTACATACTAGCATGAACTTTAAACCTTATAAGCCAAAAACAACTATCTACCTGCTTATTGCTTATTGTTTATTGCTTTTGAAAAAAGTGGTTGAACACACTCCATTTGTATGACACTATATCTTATATCCTGACATACATTTGTCTTACATGCAGCCCATGTTTGATTATATAGCTTCAGTTCCACTTGTTGACACTGGACAATCAATACCTGTACTTGAATGTTTGATAATCATATATCTTTGCTCTTGAAATAGTCAACAACCTTTCTAAATTCTACGTGATTTCTACAGACGTCGTGAGGGAGTTCATTGAGGGTCTTGCAAAAACATATCCTCGGTTGCAGTATTTGGATGAGTTTCCCAATGTGAGATGTGGTTTTTATTGTTGTTGTTATTGTTGTTGTTGTTGTTTTTTGGAAAATTATTATTATTATTATTATTATTATTATTATTATTATTTATATTTGTTGTTGTTGTTTGTTGTGGTGGTGGTTGTTGTGGTGTTGGTGGTTGTGGTTCTGGCCGTTATCGTTGTGGTCATGGTGGTCGCCGTTGTGGTGGTCGTTGTTATGGTCGTTGCTGTGCTTGCTCTTGGCCCTCTTGATATGGTATATATGCTTCATTACTTGCTTGCCAACATTGGTTAAGGTTGTCTTGCGCGCTGATGTTTTTGGTGCAAAATGCGACAAAGTTGCTGTGATATCAGGTATTTAAGTACCTTGAATGTTCACTATGTGTTTTTAGTGCGTGAGATTATCACGAATCAGCACACTAGGTTTAAACATAAAACGAGTGATAAATTCAGTTGGTGTATGATAAATTTTGGCTTTGAATAATTGTTTAAAAGCTATAACTATAAGAAAACATTTTTGCATGACCTTAACTTCAAAGACATAGGAACACATGCTAACTATAAGTTACACCCAGTTTTCAATTTCTTAAATTCCATGCAATGATTTAGAGGCATAGGAGTACAAATTTTTAATTATTACTTCATGCCTTCCAAAAATAATTTATCATTTACTTTTTCACTCATTTTAACTTTTAAGAAAAAGTGAATTCGTGCAGTTCAAATTTATGCAGAAGGAACTTGCTATAGACCTGCAATGAACCACTCAATGCTTTCCTTAAAAGGAATATGTACTTTATTTTGTCACTAAGGGAGTATTTGAGGGCGGGAGGTTGGATTTTGGTTGAAATCATCTAAGTATGTCTCTTTAAGGCTAAGATTCATATAATTCCAAACCTGCATTTTGGATATGAGGACATTGGGATTCTGTGGAATGCACAGCATTCAAGATTGAGGACACTTAAAATTTGCAAACCGTGCACAATTTGAAATTGAGACCACTTGAAATAAGGACACCATTTGCTAATGAATTTTCCTTGCATCATATCTTTCCAGTTTCAATAAACCATCGCAAGAAAGTGCACCAATAATTGTGAAATATTTTTCTGCTGTTTCCAATCATGACCAAAATAACATTTTGACCTGCAAATGATGAGATGTATTTCTGACAGATTTTTTTAGCAAATCTTGAAGTACATTCTTATTCCATTTAATCCAAATCTTCTGAATTAGGGTTTTCTTTTGGTGATTATGTGATATAGGAGGTGCAAGTGGCCACGAGCCTGCTCATGCTGGATTTGTTGGGCAAGGGATGTTAGCTGCAGCTATATGTGGAGATGTTTTTGCCTCTCCAAGTGTTGACTCTATTCTTTCTGTACGAAAAAGTTCTCAATGATATTTACTCAATGATCTAGATATTATTGATATTCTGATACTCATGAACTACTGAATTCTACTCTAGGGCATACGAGCAATTACCGGTGCTAAGGGATGCCTCTTAATTGTCAAGGTATCTATCTCAAAAGATTACAATATACCATCTGGTAGCTTGGCTATAGCATTTGTATTCCTAAATTAAATACGTGAGCTTAGTAATACAGAGTATTATTTTATCTTTTATCCAGGTAAATGTAAGAGGCTTTTTGATTGAAATGCAAACACTTGAACATCGTCTGAATTTGAAATGGAGAACACTATTTCCAACTGAAGGTGTTATGTGATTTTCCGTCTGTTGATGAGAAGAAATTTCTTTCCCATTTTCCAAATGACCTAATTCAAAACAAGGCATTGCCACTCACAAGTGACGACTTCAGCTTGTCAGTTATTTCCTGCTTCTACCCAACCAACATAAAATATTCAAACAGTACAAAATTTAAACCAGTGTAATTCCAGAACCCATAATAAAGTTTTAATAACCTAAAACTCTCACATCATTCAATAAAAAACCTGCAGTTCATATTACTCTTTTCTATAGTGATTTAGCCTGAATCTTAAACACTCAAAGGTTTTACATATTCAAAATTGTTACAAGTTTTGTCATACTCTTAACTGGAAGTAACAATGTGTGACAACCTCATAAATGAAACACCCTCTGTCCGGATTTGCATTTGTGATGGTAAATGCCGAAGACTGATTATGTTTAAAAACATAAAAAAGCACCTAGTGTCCATGCTAAAACATGTGGACATTTTGAATTCTATGCATGTGTTATTAGAACTAGAGGTTATATTGTTCATAGTATTTTTTGTTTTGTGTAGAATTATATTGATGATCGAGCGAATTTTGGTTTGGCTGCAGAGAAGGCAAAATCTGAAGGCTATGCATTAGAGGTTTATTCCATAAGTCTGCCTCCAACAAGCGGATACCATTTTTTATTTTGCCTCAAATAAGGGGATATTTCACTTATCTTTAAATAACAATTGCAAGTTGATTCGATTTTTTCATTTACAAATTATACACGATTCAATCTTGTTACGAATTTAGTAATTTATCACAACGCATAATGAATGAATGATCTCAATGCAGATATGGTGCATGATAAGGCACAATGGTGTGATTTGATCCATGTAACCGACCTCACCTAGTGTTGTATCACAACAATGTCTTGGTGTAACACCACTGTATTATACTTAATGTCTTAATGGTCTTAGTTTCTGCGCTAGAGAGATGACGTTAAAGTGATTGTGTCATATTTTAATGTTTCTTTTACTAATTTAGGAGATACAATACTACTATTTCAATTTTCAGTAAATTTGCTTTATACATGCTATAATCATTCATGTAATTTTAAATTTACTTGGGACATATTATTTACGTTTGCCTCTTGTTGTATGTGTCTTATTTTATATTATTTGTGCAACATGCACTTGTATTTTGATAAATAAATAGAAAATGATTACTCCCTCCATTCCCCAATTAACCTTACTATTACCTATTTTTTTTCATGTCAATTTTCTTAAATTCCATAAAGTCAAACAATGGACTTAATTACAAGATAGGTGTGGTATTTTTTGGTTTGGGAATAGCTTGTGATATTACTAACACCATTCTCATGGCTAGTAGATGGTTATTGTTGAAGATGAGTGTGCTTTACCAACTTTCGGCGTTGAGGGAAGAAGAGGTTTTGCTGGAACAATTCTTGTTCATAAGGTCGGCTGTCTTTCTCATGCCCATGATTGTATAGCTCCTTATAATTACCCACACGTTTGAATTTGGGGGGCATATTGGTTGGCAACGTATGATTTTTTTTCACAATGACTTCATTTAAGAACTTTTCATTTAATCTTTGGGAAAATTTGTCATGTAACTCTTTCATTCAGCATGGTGTCTAGTTTTTCTTATGCTGCCTGAAACAGAAACTTGAACTCTTGAACTCTTTTCCATTGCATAAAAGAAGGGCTAGTTCAGCATAAACTTGAACTCTTGTCCATATTAATGACCTAAACAATTTGAAAATGGTTTCCCAATGCAACTGAAAAATCAACCAGTTGCATCATAGGCAAGACACCCATATAGGCACAAAGATGTCTCCAAGCATGCACGGTGAGGGACATTTCATAGGCATGCATGCACCAAAATGGGTGTACGCTGATGTCACCCCTACAAGGGAAAGGTAGAGAGCTGGCTTTTAAGCACTTAATGTTAATACCAAAGTAACCCAAAATGATAGATCATATTTTTTTTTAGAATAATAAGTAGCTAGCTCATACAATTATTATATTTCTACCACGAGATTGAAGCATGCTTGTTATAAGGTTTGACAATAGTATAATGCTTTAATGATCCCTCTTTGGATGTAATTTTTTGTAAATTAACCCTAGCACTTATACTTTATGGTGGAGGCCGGGTGGGAGTTTTTTTAGGCAAATCTATAATCAGAGTTGCTAAACCCCTAAACATGTTGAAGACTCATATGGTCATATTGTTGTATCTGATAATATCAGAGTTGCTAAGCCCCTAAACATGTGCTCTTTATTATTGATACAATTTATTTTGTATCTTTTTTTTCATTATCAAAAACCTGTAGGGAACCAACGAAGCTTTATGTTTTTGGCTTTTTAAAATTTTGAGTGTTGACTAGTTCAGTGTCTCGAGACTGGTCCCTTATATTAGTTATATGTACATGTATTACTGTATACTGAGCTTCTTCTCATAATGTTTATTGTTTTTGGTCATTTTAGATTTAGACTCGTTTGACCCGTGGGATCGACCCGTTCAAAACAAGCCGGGTTAGGGTCGGTTCCAATTATAAATTGTCAACAACCTGACCCGTTTCAAAATCAACAAGTCGGGGCAGGGTCTCTAAAAAATGGACCCGAACTGGCCCGAGCCCACTCCTACTGTAATGAATAGTTAATCTCTTGTTTGAAATGTTACAATACTCAGTTTTCATATTCGACATGGTTAGTGGTTACTTAGTTTTATTGTTTTGGAAATAGTCAATACCTGCTCATGTTAGAATTTAGGATAATTTTTGTAATGACTTTTTTTTCGGCTTCCTTTCTACTCATCACAGGTTGCAGGAGCTGCAGCTGCTTCCGGTCTATCACTTTCTGAAGTTGCTGGTGAAGCAAAACGTGCTGCAAAAATGGTGGGAACATATGGTGTTGCATTGTCTGTTTGCACGTTGCCTGGTCAGGTCGCTTCAGACCGCTTAGGTCCTGGAAAAATGGAGCTTTGCCCTGGAATCGTAAATCTCTAATATACTCTCTTTATGCTAAGATCTATCAAAGATAATTTGAATCATTCTTGTTTCACATTTCTAGTACATTCGATATCATGCTTCATGGGGCGGAATTAAAACAATCTGATTTGGGCAGGTTTCAAGAACTTTCAGTTTTGTTGTACTCTGACCTCTTATGAATTCATAATGGAGTTGTATATTGGGAACCCCTTTGTGATATTCATTGTAAAGTCAAGGTTCGATGGAGTCAATGATGAAAACTCTAACTTCATTAAGTTTACTTGCCTTGCATTTCTTAAAGCGTGGAGAACAAGGAGTTAATGTGGCCGATATCCAGCCAGCAGATGCTATTGTTTCTCAAGTTTTGAAGGAAATTTTGTCTCCGGTATGTTCATATATAGTTCTAGCTTGAGATCGAGGACGAACCATGCAAATGTACTGACCGTATATCGATTACAATATATAGGATGAACCAATTGAGCTAAAAGAGTCATTTTTACACTGTTGTAGCTTGGGCTAAAGAATGCACAAAATCAAAATGGCATATCAAACTTCTCTTGATTCTTACTTTTTAATATCTCTCAAGTTTTGGGAAGTAAATGTAGCAATGCATCGAGGGTCCTAAAGAAAGAGCACCTCTGTTTTTTTTTAACAAAACAAAGTCAGGATTAAACTAGGTTTGTTGTTTTAGCATTGTTCTAATTAGACTTGTAGATTTTGTGCTCACACATGGAAATGTTTATTGCCGTTATTGACACATATTAATATTTAATATAACCATAGTTATTAATGGCGAGTGGCGAGGGGCGGGCGAGAGGACCTTTTTTATGGCGAGAGGCGTGGTGAGAGGCGGGCGGTCAAATGGCGAACATGCATGCATGCATGCATGCATACATATACACACGCACACACACACACATGTATGTATGTATAAACACATAATATTGATACTAGATATGTATGTATGTTTGTATGTATGTATGTATGTGTATATGTATATATGTGTGTGTGTGTGTGTGTGTATATATATATATATATATATGGCTTGGATATATATATATATATATATATATATATATATTATAGAGTAATATATAGCAATAAATATTATGGCTTGGATATATATATATATATGGCTTGGATATATATATATGGCTTGGATATATATATATATGGCTTGGATATATATATATATATATATATATATATATATATAATAGAGTAATATATAGCAATAAATATTATGCATTGTATACCCTAAAGCCTTAAGGCAGTGATTGAGGCGAGAAAGGCGAGCTAGGCGAACACCTGAGGCAGTGATTGAGGCGAGAAAGGCGACCGCCTTAGGCGCGCCTTAGGGATCTCGCCTCGCCTGGCTTCATTGAGGCGCTGAGAGCTCGCCTGGTCGCCTGAGGCGCCATAGGCGAGAGAGGCGAGCGCCTTTAATAACTATGAATATAACCACCAGAGCAACAAAAGCGGTCCATGATTGTCATACATTAGGCAACTACAATTCCTTGACTGTTGTGGCCTTCGAAGTCTGCTGGTAATTCCGGTCACCTGACTTTGGAGATGGGAGAAGATTGAACTTGGGAGGTGCACAACAACTATCTACTGACTATCTCAATGTGGAAAACGTAAAATACGGACAAGTCCATGATCAGATTGAACCTTGTAATCTTGTATAGACAGGGCTATGATACAAAGTTTAATATCAGAAAAGATATACATAAGTGAAGTCTTGATTATATAAAGAATTTATTGCTTAAGCTGCTTAATTGGTGCCCTACAATTAGGAAGCGAACCATTTCCTCTATTCGGGTAACTTAGTTTATACTTTGATGTCTAAGCCCTAAGGGCAGCTAGTCTGAGTCTATGATATCTTTACTTTAGAGCAAAATTAATGGTAACAGTGCAAGCATTACACCTTTTTTTATTAAAATGTTTTCTTTAATATAATGTTGCTTAATGGAGCCAAAGATTCACTATTTTTTGGCTTTGGGGTATGATGGAATAAAATAAATTGGCTCTTTAAACTGTTTGCTCTTCTTGCAATTGTGAAGTAGCAGTTAGCCAATGCAACTTTTGGCGCTTATCATGGGTCATCTGGAAACAGCTGCTCTATCTTTTAAACATAGGGCTCAGAGTACATCTGACCCCTCTTACCCCACAATGGGCAGGAGCCGTTGAGGCCCTGGGGTAATGTTGTTGTTGTTGTCTTTAATATAATGTTGTTCTGAGTCTTCTGGCAAAAATATTTTTCTAAAACTTGCATATTTCTTCGGATTTATCCTTAACTATACCCAAATTGTTGGCTTGGATATGATCATAAAGCATTAACAATTTGTATCATTTTTATATGGATTTCAAACAAATTTGAATCATCCTTCTTGCTATTTATTTTAGCATATGGCATCACGTGAGTTACATTAAAAATTTAATTGGCTTTGCAGGAAGCCAAAAATGTCCCGATCACACGTGGGGATAGAGTTGTTCTCATGGTTAATGGGTAAGTTTGCGTGAATTTGTCTTAGTTTCAGTTTCCTCTCACCTCATATCTTTCTTTGTGATCTTTTTTGTTTGATTTGCTTTACAGTCTTTTGGGATGTTTTTTTGGGAACTAAGACCGGTGACAATGATTGGTGATTTTTTTCCCTTTGCGGGAGGGGATAAGAAATATGTACTTATATCAAATTATATTCATATTTTTGTAAACTTGAGCTTACAAAATTATATTCAAATTTCCCTTTGCAGTATTCTGTGCATTTTTGGATAATGTAGACTAGTAAAAAATGTGAGAATCTTATTCACATTTTTTACAACTGATGAGGTGGCTAGGAGATTCACTTCCTCTTATTTGGGATGTTGCAGGAGTTATGTCACATTTTATTATTAAATTCCAATTCATGGAACTTTGTATTTGCAAACGTTACATGTGAATCTCGTGCTTCTTCAACTTCTTTCTCTTTTCACCACAGATTAGGTGCTACACCAACCATGGAATTGATGATTGCTGCTGGAAAGGCTGTTCCCGAATTGCAGTTGGAACATGGACTTGCTGTAGACAGAGTGTATACTGGATCATTTATGACTTCTCTTGATATGGCTGGTCTGAAATATTTCTAATTTATTTGGACTCTGGAGTGTGGATCTGTCAGGCTGCGTTTTGCTCATTGTGCCATGTATTGTGCAGGATTTTCAATTTCTGTAATGAAGGCAGATCAAGCAATTTTGGACTGGTTGGATGCTCCTACTAATGCCCCATACTGGCCTTTTCGTGGTTAGTCTGGTCTAAATTTGTGTGTTTATAAATGTGTATGTGATATTCTGTCACAACAAACTAATCCACTGTAATCCCATGGCTGTAGATGAAGCTCAACAACTTGCTGCACTTCAGCTGCAAGTTGAAACCCTCAAAAGTGTGAATGAAGACTTCAAGAGAGTGAATGAAGACTTCAAGAGAGTGAATGAAGCACTCACAGGACAGAATCATTACCTCAACAAGTTAAACACCTACCACTTTAATCTAGCACAGTCGCTTGAAAGACAACTGCGCTCAACAACAGCTCATTACCATTCCCAGGTTAGCTATAGAGATCAGAGGATCTCTCAATTACAGAATACAATGGCAGAACAAGATAAACAAATTGAGCTAAAAAGCCAAAAAATCATGGAACAATTGTTGAAAATAGATGAGGCAATGAAATGGAAATCAAAATATGAAGCTGAGAGAGCATTGAACACCAAAGAGCCTTCGAAAGACAAAGAAGTGCTTGCTGGGGAGTTAATGAATGCTATAACTGCATTTTATGGGGAACCATTGGAGAAAATTAAAGAGAGGTTGGAAAGACTCCAAAAACGTATTGGTGATAGTGCTTCAACAGATGATAATGCACCCCAAAGGTAGTTACTTTGTTTATTATCATGTTTGTTCCTTGGTTGATGAAAAAGTTTTGTTTTGTTTGTTTGTTTGTTTGTTTGTTTGTTTGTTTGTCTTTGGTTGATGAAAGTGTCTTCCTGTTTGTTATTCTTGGGTTGATGCAATTGGTTTCTTGATCTAGCCTCATTTTCCATCAAAATTGGTTTCTTGATATGACCATTATTCACTTTTTCCAGGATTGACCCAAGTTTCTACATGGAGAGGTTAAAATCAACCAACGCTTATAAGGAGATGTTGAGTGTGTTTGACACCTTGTACAATCTAGAGGTGCAAAAGGTGGAGGCTTTACAAAAGGTGAAAAAAGCCCAGGATAGACTCTTTGAAGAGCTTGAGGTCGATTATCCACTTTTAACTTTTGTCCCAAGAAAGGGTAATTCCGGAGCCTCACATTAGTATGGCCTGGACTAATGGACTCTAGAGGAAGGAAAGTTAGTTATGGGGGGAAACGGTTCATTCATTTGGATACATCCTTATATCTACTTAGTATCTACTCGCAAGTTGCAAATTTTGCATAGCCACTCAGCACAAACTGTATATTCTCCCTAAAACGTTGGTATTTTGTTTCAAGGCATGCATTAACTTTGAATTAATCTACATGTGGGTACTCTGAATTAGAGTTAAGTTTAGGTCGTTTTCAAATTACATTGCTTTTTTGGGTTGAATGGTGCTTTAGCTTTATGTGAAATTTGTACTAAATAGTATAGAGTACGTCTTTTCTTAATGTAGTACTATAAACTTTTAAATTTTTCAATAGCACTTGATAATGACCAGCGGGGGCCATTATATAATTTTAAAATTTTAAGTTTTACAATTCTAAACTTGTTTTTTTTCTTCCCCGCCCATCTTCCACTTCTGTTTTTTTCTTTCCTTTTTATTCTCCCTTTTCTCAGTCGCTCCTCTTTTGCCCTCTCCCCATCCGACCCCCACCCCGCTTTCCTCATTTTTTTCCTTTTTCTCCGTCTTCAGGCATCCCACACCCACCAACCACCTCTCCTCATCTATCTATACAAGCTTGGAGAATCTCTTTACAAAAGCAAAAGGGAAAGGACCATGCTACATTTACACTAAAAAATATACCCCATTTGTACACCACAGGTTTGCACAAACATTTGGATAGTTTACACCGACACAAGTGGTGGTGTGTTAATAAAAATTCACACGGACAAAAATATTGATGCGCTTAACAAAAATTAGTTTTATACCAACACAAAATGTTGGTGCAAAACTGCGCGGTACAAATTGGAGTAGAAATCTTGGGGTACACATAGCATAATCCAAAGGGAAAGGAAATCCTCCCGCCTAAATGAACAGTAGCAGCGTAGGTTAGCAACTGTGCCACTTACTGTATCGAGTTCCCTGAAAAAACATTACACCTATTTCCTATAGGGGTGAGCAAGTACCGAACCGATACCGAAGTTTCTCGAAAAAACCGAGAATACCAAACCAAAAAATACCGAACCGAAAAAGTACCGAGAAGGAACCGAACCGTACCGAACCGAATGGTCGGTACGGTATTTGGGAACGGTACGAGGTGACTTCCCATACCGAAAATCCCGAACCGAACATATATACTAAAATATTATAAAAAATAATATCCCGGAGTAATATTTTTATATTCCTTCACTAAATAATAAATTTTTTAAAAAAATTGGTTCAAGTTCTATTATGTAGAAATTATACTTTCATTTGAGTTTTAGTTTGTGTATGAAAATAAAAGTATTCACAAAGATTCAATATATTCTTTTGTTGTCGTTCATTTTTTTAGTTTGTGAAATATAAACTAAGCTTTGATACGCATCTCTTGCATTTAAATATTCATTTTTTAAATTTTTCATGTTTTTTTATTTAAATTCATTTTAAATTTTCAAAAATAAAGGGGAGTTGTTAAGTTCTAAGGTGTAAAGTAGGTGTGTATATTCATCCCGATTTGTACCGAAACCGATACCGAACCATCCCGAACCATACCGAACCGATATTTCGGGATCGGGATCGGTACGGAGTAAAATCTCATACCGAACCGAAAGATTTGGTACGGTATCGGTACGAGCTAAATACCGTACCATACCGTACCATGCTCACCCCTAATATTTTCCTAGATGGAATGAGGCATTCCCTAAATGGAAAATCGGCTTTCTTAGTTCCGAAATGTAAACTTTTTTTTTTCTTCATTTTTTCTGGTTTCGGCTTTCTGAATGCCCATGGTCTGACATATTTTCAAAAATTTTTGGTCAGTGGTGGTCTCGGCCTTGATAGTTGCTATTTGCTAATGCCAAAATGAGACTTGACAAATTTTTTTTTATTTTTTGGTCAATGCTCGCTCTCTAGTCTCCTCCCCTTCTACTAATTACTCCCCTCAATTATATATATCAATACAATTTGATAATAATTAGTCTTATTGAATTTTAAAAGATATATTTTTTTCTTATAGAGATTATATCAGAGAGTTCTAATCCAAGTAGAAAAATAATTATCGATATTTTTTTTACATATGTTGATGTTTTTCTTAAAAAAAACATATTTAATTTATGGGTGCAAACATATTTAAAAAAGTGAAATTTGCATTAAATATGACTAAGACATAAATCATTGAGAAATAAAAACATATGGTCATATATTGGAAAAGTCATTATCTTTTAGTCCTATTTAGGTAAATTTATCCAAAAAAATTATATTTAAATTATGTGTTTCTAAAAAAACATATTCAAATAAAGTGGGACTCCATCATTATTTTGGGAGTTCTTTTGTGTATATATAAGGGAGAAAGTTCAAAGTAAGACTAAAACATTGAAAATATATCAAAATAAGACTTTCTTGTTTTTATTCTCGAAATATGACTTACATTACCATACATGGCCATATACACTACCAAAAAAGTATAGTAATTTGCACATGTAAACTGCCACAATACAATTGAACAAAGTCACATTAGCATAGTGCAAAGTCCTATTTCGAGAGAAAAAACATGAAAGTCCTATTTTGGTACATTTTTCTCTTTGTTTTACTCCTATTCAGGGTGATTTTTATATATATAAATAGATTGGAGATTAAAGGGGCAGTTAAATATTAGGGAAAAAGACCAAACTAGGACTAAAACATTGAAAATATACCAAAATAGGACTTCCATGTTTTTATTCCCGAAATAGGACTTACATTACCAAACATGGTCATATACATTACCAAAAAAGTATAGTAATTTACACATGTACACTGCCACATTACCACAATGCAAAGTCACATTACCACAGTGCCAAGTCCTATTCCAGGAAAAAAACATGAAAGTCCCATTTTGATACTTTTCTCTATGTTTTAGTCCTATTTAGGATGATTTCTATAAATCTTATTCTTTTCCACTGTGTTCACTTCACAAAAGTTTATTTTTCCTTTAATTTGATGACTTAATTTTTTTATAATGCTAATATTTCACTCATTATTTACATGAGAAACTATGTGCCAACCTGCTAATTGTAAAAGATTTACACGGGAAATGTAACTAGATTTTAGCAGTGATGCACAATCAAAATAATACTCGTTCTTTCCCCAAGGTTGTTGAAATTTTTATCTCCTCTCGATGATGTTGAAATCATATTTAAATTTATTCGATGATGTTAAAATTATAAAGAATGTTTGTGGAAAACTGGAAACATAGTATGGTATAGTGACTGATTGACATATATTTTGATTAACTATATTCTATTTTAATTTAAGTATCACTTGCTAATTTTTTTTTTAATTCTTTTGCTAATAGATAATTAAAAATAATATATTTTTAAATTTAGATCATAAATGGTCTAAAATGTACGGAGTAATAAGTTTTCTAGTCATTAAATCAAATCATAAAATTAATATATTTAAACTACCAAATCATGTGTAGTATTTTTTCTTGTTGAAGAATAGTATAACCCAGTCATCTAGTTTTTTAATTTTTTATATAGTTTTGAAAATATATTCTGTATTTTTAATTTTATACTCCCTCCGTCCCGCATAGATCTTCTCAATAGCCCTTTTTCTTTGTCCACAATAGATCTTCTCATTTCATCTTTTAACAATCAAAATACCACAACTACCCCCACTTACTTTATTTATTACACCTCACCCACCTTATTTAATGCACTCCACTCATTTTCATTAAGGGTATTATGGTAAACTATCACCTTTTTTTAACTTTCTTTAAAAAGCACATAAAGTCAAAACGAGAAGATCTTAGAGGGACGGAGGGAGTATCATTATTTAAACAAATAGATTCAAAATTAATTTTTTAAAGCATATCCTAAACAAGTACTCGTATAAGTTTTTCTTGTCATCCTAAAATATTTATATCATATTTTCTTGTCTGAAATTAAGTGAAATAAATGAAATAGTAAATACACATATCAACTTTCTATATGAGTCTCATTTTTATATATAAAAGATTTATTAAAATTTTAATAATTTTATTTTGAATAAAAATTAAAATTTTAATTTAATCTCATGTCAAGTATTATTTGTAGTATATTAAATTGTTAATCCCACGTTGAATTGTTTTTTGAGTTAATGTTAAATATTTATTTAAGTATATTATATATTTACTTAACTTGTAATTGATTGCCTTTCATAAATTTCTAACAAATTATTTTTTTGGTTTTTTATTGTCTTACTTAAATAAATAATAATTTGTCTAAAAATAGTATCACATAGATATCGTCAGATGTCAAATTTTTAAAGAGTCATAAATGTGATGGAAGATGACATGTAAAAAATAGCCTAATAGACATTCCACACGTCAAATTTCTAGGAGGTTAACCCTCCTTTTTAATATATAAAGATAAAGATTTGAAAATAAATACTACTCCGTAGTATATATTATTCTCCCCATAATATTTATTCTAACTATTTGTTTAAAAATGGATTTTTAAAAGTCAAAACAATGGGTTTGTAAAGGCCAAAACAGGTTTTTTTTATAATTTTTTAAAAAAGGTTTAAAAATGGTGATGGGAAACAATACGTGGCTCGACCCACATTTCCCAATTATTTACGAAGAACAATCAAACCGGACCTGTTTAATAAAATGGAGGAAGAAGAGAATATTCCTCCGAAGATGTCCCCTCCCTCCTACCGTAGTATAAAAGAAGGGGTTGCCTAATTGAGAAGGGGAGCCATTTTTCCTCTCTCATCCTCCTGCCCAAACCACTTTCTCTCTCTAGAAACATTGTATAGTGTATATTTCCTTCTTCTTCAAGAGCTTCTAGCTCCACCATTAATGGCTTCAGAGCCCAACTCTTGTACCGTGTACACACCCCCGATATTAATAAAAAATCCTCCGTTGGCAAGGTACCGCCAAAAAAGGCTCATGGTTTTCTCCTGATTTGGGTTTCCACGTAAAAATCCTTGTGTTTATAATTTGGTGTATTTTTTAGAGTAGTTTATCATTTTTGCCGGGCTAAAACGATATACCGGTCGATAATTTACACCATCATTTTGGCGCCACCGTGGGACCGATTGAATTCGGCAATCATCCCTCTATTCACACCCCACGAAGTATCCACCACAAAATCTCTTATTCTTTATTCAAAATATGAATTCTTTGTGGAGAAAGAGAGAAATGGAAGTTTGAGTGCTCTTTAAAAGTTTACAAAAAGATGAGAGAAAAGAGAGTGGCAGTACAAACTACAAATGGGAGAATATTTTTTTTGGAAAGCTCCACAAGGAAACAACTTCAAAAATTATTATTTTCCTTGATTAATACAATGAATCCACCTTCCTTTATATACAAATGGGAAGGGGTTACAATAAGGAAACAACAATAAATGTGAATCCTATGCAAATAAGGTATGTACTAGATTTGATACAGGAAATATGCTTAACATATTTTAACTAATATTCTTAACATATTCAACATGCTACCGACTCCGTTGGAGATCTTCGGATTCCAAGATTATGTCGAAAATCATTGAAGAGAATAGATGGCAACCCTTTGGTGAAGATATCTGCGAACTGAGAGGAGGATGGAACGTGAAGAACTCGAACTTGACCCAGTGCTACTTTGTCTCTTACGAAGTGAATGTCAACTTCGACATGCTTGGTACGCTGATGCTGCACTGGGTTGGAGGATAAATAAACTGCACTTATGTTGTCACAGAAGACGATGGTGGCCCGGCGCAGAGGTTGTGTAGCTCAAGTAGAAGATTTCGGATCCAATTGGTTTCAGCAACTGCATTGGCTACGGCTCTGTATTCTGCCTCAGCACTAGATCTGGAGCTGGTTCCTTGTCGTTTTGAAGACCATGAAACGAGGTTGTCCCCTAGAAATACACAGTAGCCAGATGTAGAGCGTCGTGTGTCCGGACAACCAGCCCAGTCAGCGTCGGAGTAGGCCTGAAGTAGATCGGAGGAGCTGCGAGATAATGTGATCCCATGGGTAACAGTACCCTGCAAATAACGGAGTACCCGTTTTAAAGCAGTGAGATGGGGCGTCCGAGGGGCGTGAAGGTAGAGGCATAATTGCTGTATTGCATATGTAAGATCAGGTCGGGTGAAAAGTAAGATACTGAAGAGCACCAACAAGGGAACGATAAAGAGAGGGGTCGTGGACTGGGTCACCATCAGTAGCGGACATTTTCCCTTTAGAGTCCACAGGTGTAGAGATCGGCTTGCTGTGTGTCATGCCTGCTCTGTCCAAAATTTCATGAGCAAACTGAGTCTGATGTAAGAAGAGTCCCTATTTGGTGCGCTGGACATTAATACCGAGAAAAAAATTGAGTTCCCCCATATCTGTCATGGCGAATTCACCCTTTAAGCGCTCTGTGATCTGAGATAGAAGCAAGGTCGTCGAGGCTGTGAGCACAATGTCATCAACATAAAGGAGCAGGTAGGCCATGTGAGTGCCTCGTGTGTAGACAAACAAAGAAGTATCAGTCTTGCAGCCCTGAAAACCAATATGGTGTAGAAAACCAGCAAACCGTTGATACCAAGAGCGAGGTGCCTGTTTTAAGCCATATAGAGCCTTCTTTAGTTTGCAGACATGATGTGGGCGTGATGGATCTTCGAAACCAGAAGGCTGACTGGCATAGACAGTCTCTTGAAGGTGGCCATGGAGGAAAGCATTCTTAACATCCAGGTGGTGTATGGGCCAGCCCCGAGAGAGGGCCAGACTGAGGACAATCCGTATGGTGGCGGGTTTAATGACCGGACTGAACGTGTCACTGTAGTCGATGCCGAAACGCTGGTTGAAACCTCGGACTACCCAGCGAGCTTTGTACCTGGACAGATCATCTGTGGGGCCAAATTTGTGTCGAAAAAGCCATTTGCCAGTGATAATATTTTGGGTGGGGAGGGGGGTACTAATTCCCATGTATTATTCTTTATTAAAGCATTAAATTCATCACACATTGCATCATACCAGTTTGGATCTTTTAGGGCACTACGATAGGTTGTGGGAGTGGTGAGATGTGGGCTGTAGTGTTGAGGTTAAGGATGGATTTGGGGCAGCGGATGCCGGATTTGGCGCGTGTGGTCATTGGGTGTGTATTTGTGGAGGTTGAGGGGTTTGGCTCAATGGGCTGTGTCGTGGGCTGGACTGAACGGGTGGACTGGGTTGAGGACTGGGCGGGAAGGGTGGTTTGGGCCGGAGGCTGTACGTGGGAGGAGGGTTGGGCCAGGCCTGGGTTTGGGTAGGAAGAAGGGGAGTGGATCGTGAGGTGGAAGGGAGGGGGATTGCGGGCTGGGCCGTGGCAGAACGTGGGACGGAGTAGGTGTCGGGTGGGTGGGCCGTGAGAGGTGACGAGGACAGAAAAAGATGGTGGAGATGGTGGGGATTTGTATCGTCCATAATGTTAAGAAAATCGAGATCAGGCGGCGTGGAGGGGTGAGCGAAGGGAAAGGTGGATTCGTCAAAGATGACATGGCGAGAGATGATGATTTTGTGGGTGGTTAGGTCGAGGCATCGAAATCCTCGTTGGTTAGAGGGGTAGCCGAGAAAAATACACCGGGTGGAACGGGGGGATAATTTGTGGGGGGCAGTGGCAGAGATGTTCGGGTAGCAGAGTCATCCAAAAACACGTAGATGATCGTAGGAGGGTGGTGTGTGAAAAAGCACTTCGTGGGGAGTGCGTTTTTGAATAGTGGTGGTGGGTAAGAGGTTGAAGAGGTGGCAGGCCATGTGAAGTGCCTCGACCCAATATTCGGGAGGTAGTTGGGCTTGAAAGAGCAAGGTTCGAATTGTGTTGTTGATGGTTCGGATAGTACGTTCAGCACGACCATTTTGTTGGCTTGTGTGGGGGCAAGAGAAGCGGAAAAGGATGCCTAGGGAGTTAAAAATAGTTTGAAGAGGGGTGTTACGGTATTCTGTTCCATTGTCACATTGTACATTTTTAATAGTCGTGTTAAAATGATTTTTAATAGTCGTGTTAATAATAATTTTTCATGGTATCAGAGCCTACCCTAGGCTAACCCCGAAACCTTCCCCTCTACCCCTCTCTCTCTCGGCGTTTACTGTCTCTGCCGCCACCCCTCTTCTCCCCCACGGCAGCAGCTCACTCTCTCCCTGCCGTCACCGTACTCCCCCACGGAAGAGACTCCCAGAGCCTCCCTCTCTCTCTAAAACAATCCTCCAAACATATACCCCATGGCCTCCGAAAAACCAAACTCTTCTTCCCCTACCCCCCATATAGCGTTTACAACGATATCTAACGTCAAACTCCAGGTTCCTATTACTCTCAGTTTCTCAGAGCCTAACTACAAAAAATGGAGCCGCCTCTTCCTTCTTTTGGTGCGCCGCTTCAACCTTGAAGGCTTCCTCACCGGTGAGAAAACTTCAACTGGAAAAGATGACGTGGAATGGATCCAACTCGACGCTCTCATTCAAGGATGGATTCTCTCCACCGTCAATGATGAGGTGTCGGATCTCATCATCTCTTCCACCACATCCGCTGCAGATCTATGGAATCTATTCACAACTTATTTCACGACAACAAGGCGGCAAGGGCCATGCAATTGGAGCAACAATTCTTCACCACCGTCAAAGGCACATCTTCAATTGCCTCGTATTGTCAGACACTTCGAAACATTGCCGATTGGCTTGACGATGCCGATGCCCCGGTCACCGAGAATCAACTTGTTTTGCAAACCCTCCGTGGCCTCCCGGAGGATCTCAGCAACCAAGCTTCTTTCCTGCAGTTTCAAAAACCTCCGCCAACATTTATGGAAACCCGGTCGGCTCTTCTTCTTCTCGAAGGACAGCGGCGTCCCCACGCCGTCACCGGTGAGCAAAGCACGGCGCTGGCAGTGCACGGCGGAGGAGGCTCTCGCAGCCCGGGCCATGGTGGTCATGGCGGACAGCAGTTCGGACACAGCAGTGGCGGCACTGGACCGCCCCAAGGGTACGGCGGACGGGGACAGGCGCACGGTGGACGCGGTGGACGGCCAACTCGTGGCCGTGGTCGTGGACGGCACGCTGGAGCTCACCCTCGGTACAGCCCTGGACAAAACAATCCCTGGCAGATTCCCTACCCATCCCAACAGTGGGCTGGGCTCTTGGGCCCACGCCCCAAGCTAATTATACCCAACCCACTTATTTCCCTTACCCAAACCCTTTAGCCCACAACCCAGCCAGCCCATAAACCCAATTCAGCCCACAAACTCAGCCCACATACCGCCCACCTGCGTACCCCCAACCCAACTACCCCTATGCCCCCTACCCGTCACCCTCACCTCCCCCCACCCCCACTGCCCTGGCCCACCAATTTGACACAATGACCCTCCGTGAACCCACGTGGCTCATGGACACCGGTGCATCTCATCACATCGCCTCCGGCTCTGATACCATGAAAAATTATTATTTTCCTTGATTAATACAATGAATCCACCTCCCTTTATATACAAATGGGAAGGGGTTACAATAAGGAAACAACAATAAATGTGAATCCTATACAAATAAGGTACTAGATTTGATACAGGAAATAACATATTTAACTAATATTCTTAACATATTCAACACAACTAAGAAGAGGGAAATACCAAGAAATATGAGAGGTAGCCAAAAGAAGTCATTGGGGAAAAAGATTGGCACCGTCGCCATTGCTACCGGAGTGCAATGACATCACCGTCATAGCTTCTGACCACCGACGCCATCCTTGGCCGCAGTCCGACTTCCGGCCACTGCCATGGCCGGGAAGAAGAGGTCCCTCCACCACCGCACGAAGGACACAATGAAGTCCACCGCGCCGCCCATGGCGGATTTCACTCGGAACCACAGGTCGTCCACCACGTGTCCCACGACGGGAACCAGCTGATTCGTCCATATTGTGACGATGAGATCGGCGGAGATAGGCAGACCTATAACTCTATAAGGTATGTTGCCGGGCAGGTCTCCAGCTCTACCTCTCCATCCGTCACGAGCAGCTCATTTCTGTTCGCTCTCATCCATCCGATCCTCACCAAGTTTGAGAAAGGAGGTCGTTTGAGAGTGAAGATCATTGACGCTGATAAGCAAAGATGGAAAATCCTGGAAGAATTCATACCCAGGAAAGCAAGAACCAATTCATCACCACATGTCTTGCTACAAGGAGATGAAAACAACAACAACATGTTATAGACCTACCACAGCCACAGTTGTTTAGCTCGTCGCTCTGGTACAGGACTCACCACCACCGAGGTGATCTATAAGCACTACGAGGATGACCAGGCCAGCCGGCCAATTTCCACCATGGCCTAAATCTATTGTCCAACGTCAATGTCCGATCCTCCCCGCATTGAAAATGTCCGCGGCCGTTACGGGAAATGTTCCAGTCAAAATCTATCGCCACCGCTAGTGACGTTCGACATTGCCAGTCCTAGTGTTGAAACCCGGCCCTCCGTCATCGCTGCAAGGGTCCATCCTCCGTCGCTCTAGCCTTGGCCGCTGCCATTATCCATCCACAGTGGCTGCTACCAGAAACGACGGGAATTGGTTGAGAGATAGTAATTGGGCCTAACATAATACGGCAAGTGAAGCTACGACGGAAGAAGACAAGGAGAATCTCAAAAAACCATGTGATGGGCATAGTGAACTGATCCAAATACAGCTGGTGGAGGTCCAATAATTTCAAATGCTTGGTGGGCATATTTTCATTCACAATCTCCATGAGCAATCGGACAAAAAAATGGCAGGAAGTCAAAAATCAGGATGCTAAAGTGCTTGAGATCTCACATCTTTTTCAGTCACAAATTATACTCCGTAGTAAAGGTGGGGAACACCATTATTTGAGAAGACTTTTCCCCTCAATCCATGTGAAAGATTTTTATCATTTACTCCATGGAATTTATCAATTCAATTTTCAAGAGGCTGGAAAAGAGGATAATGGGACTTCATTACAATCTGATCAGTAATGAGATCTTGTTTGAAGACTAGGACGGGAACTAAAGGAAGACTGAGACACAAGCCGAACTTGGTACACTGGTTACGACACTGGTCTTGCTCAGTATTAAAAAAAAAAAGAGGAAGACTGAGACACAGGCCCGGCCTGGCACGCTGGTTACCACACCGGTTTTGCTCAGTATAATAAAAAAATATTAAAATATGTGACACAGGTCCGGCCTGGCACGCTGGTAAATATCATTTTTTCTTGTAAGTCTGGACCCAATCGAATTGGGTACACCAGTGTCTCAGCTGAGCCCTTATCGGGGACGCCCGATTCTTCAGGCCCTTTGAACAAGGCACTCCTGAAGTGGTCTCTACAGGACACGAAGATATTTGCATCAGTTAGCCGGGCTAGCATCGATCTTCAACAAAGCTGGTGCAGCATACTCAATTCCTATTAACTAACGTCAATGTCGTATGTATACTAATTTCGTCATGTATCGCTTACTTAATTCGAACTAACATTGGCCTCGATGAAATAACTACTTGAAGCACTGCCGCTTCATCGTACTAACTTCGGTATCGTATAACTACTTGAAGCATCGCTGCTTTATCGAACTGACATCTCTCTTGTTACAATAATTATTCGCGCGAAGTTTAATCACTCTAACACCGAGTTCCTCGAAAAAGATAATAATTTTTCCAAAAAAATAGTGTACAAATTATTTTTTGCATGAAAAACTTCTGATTCAAGAAATTAGAGAATTAAAGAAGATTCGAAGGACTAACAATAATGTCTACCGGTCAAGAGTTCAAAGTACGAAGACTAAAGATTACACTCGGAGGACTTATTTACTTTTTTAAGTTGATAATTCTCACAACTTAAAAAAGTGGAGGACTTCTTGATGGGAAATAATACGTGGCTCGGCCCACATTTCCCAATTATTTACGAAAAACAGTCAAACCGGACCTGTTTAATAAAATGGAGGAATAAGAGAATATTTCTCCGAAGATGCCCCCTCCCTCTTATAAAAGAAGGGGTTGCCTAATTGAGAAGGGGAGCCATTTTTCCTCTCTCATCCTCCTGCCCAAACCACTTTCTCTCTCTAGAAACATTGTATAGTGTATATTTCCTTCTTCTTCAAGAGCTTCTAGCTCTACCACTAATGGCTTCCGAGCTCAACTCTTGTACCGTGTACACACCCCCGATATTAATAAAAATCCCCCGTTGGCAAGGTACCGCCAAAAAAAGCCCGTGGTTTTCTCCCGATTTGGGTTTCCACGTAAAAATCCTTGTGTTTATAATTTGGTGTATTTTTTAGACTAATTTATCATTTTTGCCGGGCTAAAACGATATATCGGTCGATAATTTACACCATCAAACGGCTTTGCAAAAGCCAAAACATTTTTTTTCAATTTTTTTAAAAAGCTTTAAAACGGCTTTGCAAAAGCTAATTTTTTTAATTTTAAAAAGGAAAATGCTATGGGTACACCAAAAGTGTACCCCAAACATCCCACCCCCTCCATCACCACAAAAAAAGGCAAGAAATATTCAAAAAAAATTAAAAATAAAAACAAAATAAAATGAATGATAGAAAGGGGAGTGGTGTACATTTGAGGTACACATTTGGTGTACCGCTAGCATATCCTTTTTAAAAACGGCTTTGGTAAAGCCGATTTCCAACTGAGGAAATCCATGTCCAGATTCTTCCCACTGCGGGGATTTGAATCTTCACTCTATATCTTCCATCCTGCATCCAAAGTGATCTCTCCATCCTCAATAGTGCTTTCACTATCTAATATCAACTCCATTTTCAGGTATGTTAAAAAAATCAAACAAGCCTTCCAAAATTTATATATTGTTAATCTCTCTATTAAACAAAAAAAAAATTGCATTTAAGTGCTATTCAAATTGAACCAAAAATTTCAAACTAAAATTGTTCTCCAGCTGATTTAAATGCAATTTTGAAGTTTTTTTTACCCATATCTACTACGTTTTCTTCATTTCTTCTTTCAATTTCATTGTGAAATTATCAAACTGCTAATGCCTAACAAATAAGAAGACTAAATGGTAATCAAAGAATTGAAACCTCTATTTTTTTCAATTTCATTTTTTTAATTTTTTAATTTTTTTATTTTTGTTAACTTTGAATCTATTACTTTTATTTTATTTCTTATTATTTACTCCCTCCGTCCCCAATTTGATTACAAATTGCGGATTACGGAGTAAAATTTTCTACTTTTTGAAATCATTTTATTTACAAATTGATATATCAATAAGCTTTAAAAATTACATATTAAAAAACTACGTCAAAAGTTCTACAAAATAAGAGGTGACAAGAATATTTTATTTTATCAAATACTTGATGAAATTGCGTAAACAAACAAAAGTTATCGAGAGGAAAGAGAAAAAAAGATTGTAATCTATTTAGGGACGGAGTGAGTATATATATTTTTATTAATAAATAAATATTTGTAATTTTGTATTAAATTTATATATACTCCGTAACTTTTAAATTAAAAATAATAAATATTGTAAAAAAACAGAGAGGTGGCTTTTCGAGGCAATATCATTGCAAGATTTTGAGGAAGGTCAAAAGTTAGTAGAATGTTGATGTGTCAAGAGTTTGAGCTATGAAAATATTCCAATTTGAGGCCCTTTTAGTTCATTTTGAATGCTAGTTTTAGCATTTGTTATTAGCTTTTTGAGTTTTAGATTGTATTAGATAAAATGTTGGTTGAGTCATAAGAGACCGTACCCTCTCCTGCTATCGGGTACACCCTACACGTATGCCTCAAATTTTAACGTATTTTAACAGTTTGTGTATAAAACGTTAATTCAATCAAAAAAACTTCATTAATATTTTGTGTTATTGTAATTTATCACACTTACATTAAACTAGTACAAAATATTATTGATGCTTTCCAAGTAAAAAGTGTGGTATGTATTTTGGGGTACAACTAGTTTAATTCTTAGAAAAAAATCAAAGTCGAATGTCAAAATAACACTTTAATTTGGATGGCGTATAAGATAATACTTTATATAGAGTAATACTCTATCCGTCCCCGAAAGATTTTCACAGTTTGAAATTTTTGGTCAAACTGTGACACTTTTTATCATGAACTAAATGTTGTTTAAAATTAAATGTTATAAGAATTTGAGATCTACTATGAGGGTGTTTGGGAGTGTGGTGAGTTATGTAAAAGTAGAAGTCATAATTTAGAAGCAGAAAGCATGTATTTGTAGCTTTGATAGAAAGCACTTCTAGACCTTAATTTTAACTTTTAATGCCATAATTTATAAGCTAAAGCAGATTAGCAAACATTTAAAATTGTGTTTTAGTAAAGTAGAAGCTATAAGTTGTTTTCAAATGCAATCCCAAACACGCTCTATATATATAAAAAGTGATGAGAAATCACAACCAATTTCAATGCCCAATTTTCCCGCCAGAAAAAGTTAATCCAATGGCTATTATAGTTTTGAGACACTTGGCATTAATCCATTCAATCTAAGACATGCCTCATTTGCAATCACAACCGGACAAAAACATATCTTTCACAACCCAACAACATTTACAATCATAAATGGACAAAAAATCAAATGTATGATTTGCAAGAAAAATACACTATGCCCCATCTTCAATTCCTTGAACTTTCCTTTTCACCAGCACGAAAAAGACCCCATGATATGCACCAAAGCATATACTCCCTGCGTCCTAATTCTTTCTTCCCAGTTTGATTTTTCCCCATTTTTAATTTTTGGGTTTAACTTCAAATTTTATCCTCCTTAAAAAAGATTCTTTTGAAATTTTTTTTGCAATCATTCAAAATATAGAGTTAGAAGATAATTGGTGTAAATATATGAGGGTATTAATGTCATTTGTCATCTTTTTTTTCTAATGGGAAGGTAGTTTTAGGACGGAGAAAAAGGAAAAATGGGAAGAAAGTTTTAGAACAGAGGGAGTATTTATCAGTGATTCTTTCAAAATATAAATGTACATACATACCAAAACCTCAGTAATGAACACAAAAGTACCCAAATGTTATTTCAAATAAATCAAATGCTCTAAATTATAAATATGAAATAAAGAGGCTAAATAATGAGGCATTTTAATTTTATTTAAAAAGCTATATTTCAATTTACTAAAAAACTATTTTTCAATTTATTAGTATAAATTTTAGAGGTGAAGGTTTCATAGCTCATTTTCATATCAATGACATCCAAAAAGTTTTCAGGGATTCCAAAATTCATTTTCACTCTGAGATGGAGAGTAAGAATCAAATTGAAAGGAATAATCACGCAAAAACAGACACAAACCCGAGCTTTATAATCTCGAATTTGGAGAGATTCGTGCAACAACTGAATTCACTGGATAAAGCCAAATTCAAGCTCCAAATATTCATATTAAACACACAAAAATACTGATTAAACGTTAACGAGGCTAGGATTGAAAGAATGGAGTCATTTACCTATGTATCGCCGTATACCTAAACGCCCGACGCGTGATGCAAAGTGTTCCACGGCCCTGGTCCTTCCTTCCGATGGTGTCTAGCGAGTAAAAGCAGGCTTTGGTGAA